ATATATATATAATTATTATTATCGAATGCAAAAATTGCAGAATTATCTAATATAAATAATCAAATACAATTTAATAAATAACTGAATGTCCGCTGGTCGGTAAACAATCACTTAATGTTGGTTTCACTCAGTGCTCGTTTTACATAAACGGACGGAGGGCTCCAGCATCACATTTCATCGAGTGTCTGAATTTTTGTGGGTCATTTTCAGTTGCCTGCCTCTATTTCTGCTATGGGATAAACCACGGCGAGTGGGGTGGTTATGTGCTTCCTTAACTTCTGACCTGTTGACCTGACCTCTGTCTCGTCCCCTCACAGGAGAGGCCTACATGAGGCTGAACAAACTGACGGAGGCAGAACACTGGTATAAGGAATCCCTCCGAGCCAAACCAGACCATATACCTGCACACCTCACTTACGGCAAGCTCCTGGCAATGACGGTAAACTCACTTTTTTAATGGACACTGACTGAATAAGGGATTGAGTTGGCTAGTTGTTAAATATTTAGTCTAGTAAACGAAAGGTTTCAAGTTTGCAACACAAGCAAAGGACGCCCAAGGTCAGAATAGTAGTAGTTTATCCTTAAATGAAAATTAATCATAACTTATGATCCCTTGTGTTTTTCTAAACCTGTATGAGTTTTGCTCTGCTGTGGAACACAGAAGAAAACATAATAGTCCATATAATAAAAGACTGGGTCTTTTATAGACAAAAACACAGAGACATTAGCTAATTGACTAATTAGTAACTCAAACATGATTGTCTTGGAAGACAAAACTCTCTCTTGAACGTTAAATACCCTTTAGGCATAACAAAGCTTGAGTACACATTAGCTTTCTATGTCTAAGAGAAGCTACCATTATACAGTATAAAGAAACCTTTCTATCCATAAATCTAATCTGAGAAGTCGTCCCTTAAGACCAAACGCATTCTTTCTTTCTCTCTGATCTTGAAACTTAAAACTGAAAAAGTGAACCAGCTAAAAACAGAAGGCTGAATTACTCGCACGTATGCCCTGGGTCTGAATCCACTCAGCAGAAATCCGTGTGGACAGATAAGAGAGAAGATGTGTTAAAAAGGGTTGAGAGAGGCGATGGCTCTGAGAGTTCCTGCTCTGCGGCGGAGCGGATTGTCTCAGGTTTACCTGTGTCTGTCTCCTTTCATTTCCACTCTGGCCATATGGTCCTCTTCAGGCCTTTCTCATTCATGTGGCCACCACCAGCTGATTATGTAAAGAAAATACAGACCGTCTTAATTTACCATCTTTGAAAGCTCAGCAGACAGTACAAGGAAAGCAGTGTGTTTTTGAAAGAGGGTTTGTGCTTCTAGCAGAAATGGAGCTTCATGATTAAGTTAGGATGACAGGAAAATCAGATGAGAGGTGTGATGGAATCTCCACTACGTAGCAGTATCGTTTAAAGTCAACATTGACCCTGTTTACTTTCTTAATACGGATTCCTGTTTTCATTGTGAATGATTCATCAATGCACGCCATTCTAAAGACGAAAGTTATTTTTATAATCGTACTGTGAAGTAGCAGTTTGACATGCTCATGTAGAAAATGTCCTTTGTTATCTGTCTCTGTCACAAAAAAAAAGATGAAGCAGTAGCTAAAATATCTATATACTGTATTTAAATATATTAGCAGAATCAGAATATCTAAATTTGTGGCTTTTTGGTAAGCTATCATAGAGAAAACTATGTCTACAGGGCTAGAAAATGTAAAATCATAAATATATCATAAGATTTTTTTTAATGTTTTCAAAAGAAGTCTCTTACACTTACTAACACTGCATTTATTTGATAAAAAAATACATTAAAAACATTTTAAAATATGTTATATGTTTTTTTTTTTTATATTAAATAACACGCATCCTCTTACACAAAACTAAAAAAAAAATGTATCTAAAGAGACAAGTAATGCTTTTGTTATGAATATAAAAACTTAGCCTATCTATCTAGCTATCTATCTATCTATCACTTAATTTTTTATTAATTTAATACTTTTCAGAAATGTTTTTAATCAATACTTTTATTCAGCAAAAATGAATTAAATTGATCAAACGTGACAGTGAAGACTTTTACATTATTGCGAAAGATTTCTATTACAAATAAATACTGTTTGTTTGAACTTTCTATTCACCTTGATAAGAAATAATCTTGAAACATATTAAACAGATTTCTTAAAACTTTAAATTTTAATAATATTTCACAATACTACTGTTTTTTTCTGTAACAAATAATTGAATAAATGCAACCTGGATGAGCATGAAATCCTTATTTCATATATATATATATATATATATATATATTAATGTTTTCAAAATAAGTCTCTTACACTTACTAACACTGCATTAATTTGATCAAAAATACATTAAAAACATATTTTAAAATATGTTATATGTTTTTTTTTTATATTTCATATTTTTAAATATTTATTCCTTTTATGGCAACTCTGAATTTTTCCCATCATTACTGGCTTTTTGGTAAGCTATCATAGAGAAAACTATGTCTACAGGGCTAGAAAATGTAAAATCATAAATATATCATAAGATTTTTTTTAATGTTTTCAAAAGAAGTCTCTTACACTTACTAACACTGCATTTATTTGATAAAAAAATACATTAAAAACATTTTAAAATATGTTATATGTTTTTTTTTTTTATATTTCATATTTTTAAATATTTATTCCTTTTATGGCAACTCTGAATTTTTACCATCATTACTGCAGTCTTCAGTGTATAATATGCTGATTTGGTGCTCAAGAACATTTATTAATATCAATGTTGAAAGCGGTTGTGCTGCATTTTGTGAAATATTTTTGTGAAAATAGTTTTTTTAGGATCTTAATAACTGCATTTATTTGAAATAATGCATCCTTAATAATGCATTTATTCACACACACACACATACAGTACATATCGGTCAAATATGGGTCAAATTTGAAAAGATCACCAATGAAACGCTCTTTTTATAAAACATTTTTAAAAAATTGATCTAGCTTTTATTTTGTTTGTTTAGGTGTTCTTGACAGTGTCATAAACCTTGGTGCAAGTAACAAAAACAGTGTAGTATTTATAGCATACTCTTCATAAACAGTTTATATTAACCACACATTTATGCCAGTTACATCATTTCACACAGCCAAGAATAAGCAATGTCAGATGAAAGGGTTCTGTGTGTCTGTCCCTCTCTTTCTTTGTCTTTCTTTTTCTCATCTCAGTTGACTAAAACCCCAAGACACACTGTCCTCAAACATCTCAATCCAGGGACTCGCACTGTAACCAAAGAAAGCAAGTAAACTACACAAACTTCCTGAATGAAGCCATTGGAAGAGGCCAGAACAAGTCAGTCCACCAGAGACAAAGTCAATCCATCACAGAGCCATACTGCTGTGATGAAACTCACTCAAGTGAGAGCAAATTCAAAAAGTGTCGTCTTCACTTCAGAGCTGTATTGATTTTGAAGAAAGTTTTCAGCTCAAATCTCCCAGGTCCTTGCGGTTTCTGCTTGCTTAATGCAGAAACAGAGTAAAACATGGGTACCCATAATCCTTTGGGTGATAATAAAGCTTCCTCAGGGGTGAGGGGGCCTGGGCAGTGATTTGATCAGTTCACTGACCTTGAATAAACTTGAATGGATGAAAGGAAAAAGTTTCGTGAATGATGTGCTTTTGTAAGTAGACTTTGCAGTTTATTTGCATGCAGCATTCATTATTTGGGTTGTCAGTTGAATGAAACTTTGAATGGTTTTTAAAGGGGTCATATGATGTTGCTAAAAAGAACATTATTTTGTGTATTTGGTGTAATGAAATGTGTTTGTGGTTTAAGGTTCAAAAAACACATTATTTTCCACATACTGTACATTATTGTTTCTCCTCTATGCCCCGCCTTTCTGAAACGCGTTGATTTTTACAAAGCTCATCGGTCTGAAAAGCGGGGTGTGCTCTGATTGGCCAGCTATCCAATGCGTTATGATTGGCCGAATACCTCAAGCGTGTGACGCAAATGGTACGCCCCTTACCATATTGTGATGCCTTGTCCCGGCCGGAGCGATGAGACAAAAACATTAAAACCCATTATAAACGAGGCATTTGTTGCATCCAGTGTGGACATGATTCACTAGAAGGATAGTATGACTTGCATCGCGCCGCGTAAACATAAAACCATGTCTGCATTTGTGATCGGAGAAATGACAAACAACAAGCGCTACTCTACACTGCCCAAAACTCGCGTTTGAATCATCAGTGGCAAATTCTTTAAATATGAAAATGTACTTACAGACTGTGAGTCAGAACAGTCTGCATTGTAGTTGACTCTTTCAGGAAACAGTCCTCCATAAAATGCACTACACACATCTGAATATTTGGGTTGAAGTGTTCTGGAACAGTGTTGTAAATACAACTTAACCACTGATTTCTAGTTGTGTCCTCTTTTGGAAGGCCAAACAAAGTAGTTTCGCTTTCACAACGAAACAAACGG